GCTATGTCTTGGGCTACTCAAATATTTTACGTTTTTGATACTAAATTAACATCTGAAGTATAATTTTTTATTATTTTTATATTTTTCAATATATTTATTTTGTTTGTACAAAATAAAAAAATAATTTTTAACGATACAATAATCTTTGTTAGGCTTAACATTGACGAAAATTCAACGCAAAGTGACATGTAACGGAGAAAAATTTCGACATTGGATACGTTAAACTATTTTTTCGTATGTAAATCAGTTATTTGAAATATCAGTTATCTGGACAACACCAGTCTCCAATTGATTCGGAAAATCGATGCTCTACTGTATATAAATTTATAACTTTTGTATACTTAAAAATTAAATGTAAAAGCACAAAATAAATTAGAATAGTTTGAATTTTTTTATAAAGAGATCTGATTTTCAAAAATAGATTATTTTACATTCTACAAACAACTTGCATTTTTACATATGTATACAGTAATACACCGAACTTACACGATAGGTGGGACCGAGCAATAACTGCATAAGTTGACTTCGCGTAAGTTGGGGTATAATTTCGCATATAAATACACACAAATTATTTTTAATTGGGACCGGAGACTAAAGAAAACAATAATTTAGAAAAAAATGTTTCCAAAAGTCTTTAACAGAGAATTCGTTGTTTTGTCTCAGCTTCATGCAGATGTGCAAACGATCGTTTCATGTAATGAGCTTTGAGTGTTTTGGTGGCTCCCTGATCAATCAGTTGAAACAAGCTGGTTGTATTTGGTGGCAAAAATACAACTTTCACATGTGAGTCAAAATTATTTAAAGTTGCATGGGGATGACCTGGTGCGATGTCAATTATTAGCATCACTTTAAATGAAATTTGTTTAGATTGGCAATAATGTTCGACTTCAGGAATGAAGTGATGACCAAACCAGTCCTTAAAAAGGGAAGCTGCCACCCAAGCTTTACGATTAGACTTCCAAATCACAGGCAAACCAGCTTTAGATTTTTTTTCAATGCTCTTGGATTTTCCGAGCAATAAACTAAGAGAGGTCACCAGCTACATTTGCACCAACCATCACCGTCGATCAATCTTTGGCGGCCTTAAAACCTGGAAAGGTTTTTCTCTTCACGTGCGATAAAAGTTCTTTTAGACATCTTCCAGAACAGGCCAGTCTCATCTACGTTGAATATGGTTTGGCTGGTATAGCCAACTTCATCTATCATAGCTTTGAATTTCTCTGGATAGTAAGACGCAGTCTCTTTATCAGCACTTGCTGCTTCTCCACTTTCTGCAATGCTATGCCAATTATGACGACTTTTGAATTGGCTGAACCAACCGTTACTAGCTTTAAACTCTTCATCTTTAGCCACCTCTCCAGCATCCTCTTTCAATCTCTCAAAAACCAGCTTAGCTTGAGAGCACACTGTGTTCTGATCAACAGGACAATTTTTCACATTTACTTGATTATCACACCATAATTTTAACATTGTTTCCATCTCAGCGATAATATTGTGAAGTTTACGCATGATGCTTGAATTTAAAGATTGAGCATTTTTCACAGCTTCGAGAATTTTTTCTTTACCTTTTATAATTGTTCTGATTGTCAATTTCTGTAAATCAAACTTCTTTGCCAATTCACAAATTTTCATTTTCGTATCGAAGTTAATAATGTTAACTTTACATTCCGAAGATAGTTTTTTTTTCTTGTTTGATGCAGAAGAATCATCCTACTTTGTTTGGATGACATAGTCTATCAAGTCTCCATAGATATAACAAACACAGAATAAATTGTAGCTATGCATTGATTCCGTGCGACACGTCAGAACATGTAAGCTGAACAATAGTGTGGAAAGTAATCAAGAGTTGCATAGCGCTCAAACAAAAGAGGAATCGACAAGATTTGAAAATCGCGTAAGTCAGGGTAGCATAAGTCGAGGTATTACTGTACAGCTAAACCTCAGTTTTCAAACAATTCATTCAGAAACAAATTTTTCCATAAAAAAAAAAACAATATAAAGTGGATTAACCCATTCCTGACTACCAAAATAAAGCATTCTTTTTAACCTTTTTAGCTGTATTTCATCCATAAAATGTCTACAAATGCAATGTAACATTGTATACAATAAATGTTTAATTTGACTGAAGCACTTTTAAACACTATTTCTTGGATGCCATTTATATTATGTGAATGTCAGTTAATGTGGTTTTTATTAATTTGATCTAAATTCAACTGAAGTGCCTACCAAAAATGGAAATAGTGTCTTTCCTCAAAATTTAATTTAAATAGCATGTCATTGATGATTTGTGTTGAGGTCTAATGATGTGAAGCGATCTCAGCACCACTAACTTCTGAATCAGTAGTCCTGTCATTGACTGGTTGGGCCATCAACTTTAACTTTGGGATATATAGGAAATCAAGAGTCATTGACCATCTGTGGCTGGCTCTTGCCAAGTAGCTTGTTTGGCAATAAGTGAAATTATGAGTTTGAAATTTTCTCTGAACTGATTTGTTCAAAAACTGAGATGTTCAAAAACACAGATTTGACTATGTGTGTGTGTTTTTTCTGTTATTTTAAAAACCCGATTTTTTTTTTTATTACATCTATACACTTATTTTATGAAAATTTTACAAAAAATTTCTCATTCTTTACAAATTTTTCATACAAGCTCATACAGTATCAAAATTTTCATAGTAATTGTTTTATTATGATTTTCTAATTTCTGTTATCAAATACAGAAACATACAAGTTAAGTGGTATCTTACAGAAAGATACAATATTTGTGGTTGAACAAATGTCAGTTAGGTATGTTAAATGTTAATAATTTAGTTATGAATATTATATATAAATATTCATAACTGTGTTTGTGTAATATGTATATAATCAGTCAATAGACTAAACTGTTGATTCTATCTCATTAATAATCTTATTTTAGATCTAATTTATATTAAAAATTTGTTTAAGGCTTGTTTGTCCTAATGGTTCTAGATTTATGGGACATACTAAGTAAAAAATATTTTTCAGTTAAAAGAATTTGAACAAGATTATATTTACATAGAAGAAGAATGCTGGTTAAACAAAAACACTCATGAAATGAATGTTAGGTCTAGGAATTTAACTTGGGAAAAATATGGAAAACTGAAAGAAGAATCCTTGTTTAAAAAATTTCCTGAAAATCCTAAATGGTTTGTAGTCTCTATAATTTTTCTTGTTTACTTTTATATATAAAAATTGAAAGCTGCTGTGTAAATTTTTAGATTAAAAAATTTTCAAATTCTTTTATATAGGACTCATTTTCATCAGAGGGGCTCTATTGATTTAGGTGGTATTGGTCATATTGGATGGTTAATGGAATGTTTTGCAGAAAAATTTTTTCGACAAAGTATACAAAAAGTAAGTTGTCTTTCATTTATAATCCATGGAAATCTATTTGTAAACTATATATAAATTTTAAATAGTCAAACCAAACCAATTCATTATTAGTATTCATTTTAATTTTAATGTATGTGTTTAACTATTATATAAAATTTTTTGTATAAACTGTAAAACAGAACAAATAACGACATGATTTCAAAATTACTAACATTATATAAAAATTGTATAAAGTTTGTCTTTTTTAATACATATTTATTGGAAATAAACTTTATACACTCATTGGTAAAAAAAGTTATACACCAAAGAGGCAGTTTTGAATCCAATGAAGCTGGTTTAATGTGAAGAGAATGACAATGATAATTGATTATAGTTTCCTAGAGCAACTTCCTGTGGAACAACAGTTCAGTTTAAACAACTCTTTAGTTCCTTGTAGGAATTGAAGTACTCCCAGTGGCCTTCTAATGTTGTCATTCAAATCAGGATTTATTGCTAAAGTTCAGATACACTGCCAGTCTATAACAGGTGCTATTTCTCTATCATGGTACCATTACAAACAAAGCCAACAAAGTTGTTTTGTCTGAAAATTTTCCTCTGTTGATGTGTCTGTTGCCGCATCTGTTGCCTGTCATTGATAAGGAAAGATTCGTTTCTGTAATGAGACTTCCATCAGTCTGAATGATGAACAAAGATGCTATTTCAGCTGTTTTTGATTGTCTCATGATCAAGTAATGATCATCTGTTCCAGTGGTCTATCTAGGGTGTCAACATATCTGTTATCCACTGTCCTAACATCTCACATTGGGTTAGAAAGACCCAAATGATAAAGTGATTTTGGCAAGTGGTCATCCAGCTTCCCTGAGCACAATGCAGCCTTTTTCAAACTCCATCAAATGTGTAATGTCTTGTATTGTCTAATATTGGAGGTCTTTGAATACAGCATGCCTAATTACATGTACACTGAAAATTCTGATCATAGTGAGTCTCTGCTGGTACTACTACTCGCTAAATAATCTGCTGGATTATATCAGGCTATAATATGGCTACTACCATATTTTTTGCAGAATGACTGGTATGCCACATAAAACGGATTACCAGAATAGCAGTTAAACTGCGACTAAAATAAAAAAATTAATCAGATCTAACAAAACTAGTTGTTAATTAAACATTAAAGAAAACATTCTTCCAAGTACAAATAATAACACTGTAATTTGGCTGTAATTAAACAATTTCTAGTATTAGTAGTAGTCAGTCAGTGTGGGCTATACTGACCATTACCCTGACCTTAAAAACATCTTCCTCTCAAATTTCACACAAAGCAATGTTAATTGGTGCAAGCTGAGATAATTTAATGTTTATTTTTGTGTTTTTGAATGAAAAAACATACACACACAAAAAGGAGCACTTTCAGAATTCCAGGACTATTTTACATCTAGAAAGAAAACAAAATGTAGAAATTAAACATAGCATTACATCAAAAACTATAATTATGACAGTTTTAGAATAAAAAGCACTTTAAGTGCCCTCTAGAGAGGGATGTATAACCTCACTTAAACTGGCATGCCTGTTTTTACCATTTGGAAATATCTGATTTTATGGTCTCTCCAGATAGATCGGCATGCTGAGCATTCCACAAAAATACAGTATTTAATAATTATTTAATTATTAAACATAGCCATATTATAGCCCAATATAGTTCAACAGATCATTTGGTCTTATTCAAAAATCAGGTTGATAGATGTTTATATTTGTGTTTACTGTTGTGATTCTATTGAATAGGAAGTTATAATCATTTACATACCTGTCTGAGACATGTCTGATTACTGCAAAACTTGGTATATAGCTAATTCTGTCGGGTGTGTAACTTTTTTTGTCAATGTGTGTTAATTTTTTAAAATTTTTGAAAAAAAAAATTATTTTTACAATAAGCTCTTATTAATCTATTATCAATTACAGAGTTTAAGAATAATGGAAGAACTATTATGTGAAAGAATGAATGGCATGCAGACAGGTGGATGAAAAACTGTTTTTAATGAGTTTGTTTGCTGGAATTGAGAGACAAGTTTACATATCTTTTTTTTTTACAATATATATATATATACACATCTTTTCCATGACATCATATACATACAAAAAAAAAGTTGACTAACTGGTTTAATGGTTATACCTTTTTATATATTTTTATAAAAAATTTTAAAATATTTTGGGGCTTTCATTGCAACAAATGAATTAAAAAACAATTTTATGATATGAAATGTAAAATTTGCATCTGTACAAAATTTGCAATGTAATGATGCAAATCTTCCAAAATCTTTGTAATTTTGCTCTTCTGAAAGGAAAGTTTGACTTTCATTTAATTCCTTGTTTTAATTGACTGACTGATAAACTAATTCAGATCTGAATGGTTCTTGATTTAGTAAGTCAGTATTAATCTTAATTTATTTAATACATTTTAGAAATATCAAATCGTGAAATGAGATTAGATATAAAAATTTTAACAAAATGTTAACAAATTGCATCTTGAAAATATAATTACTATTAAATGTAAGAATTTTTACAGTTTTAAATTGAGTAAAATTTATTTCTTATAATTTACAAAGTATTTTCAAATTTCTCTTCAATTATTATAATAACCCTGCATTGAATGGCTTGGATCTCACAGACTCATGTGACTTCTGCAGTATATTTTCATAATGTCTTTATATAGGTAGGCAATTCATATTACACACCTTCCTATTCTGGTATTACAAATTTGTGAAATTCAAATTGAATAAGTTTACTCTGCTGTGGCTAGCAGACAATTTGGGTCTGACAGACCCAGGCATTCATTTGTGTAAGTTTTTTTTTTTTGTACTCATGTAAAGAAATAACTAAAAAAACACATAATTTATAGGTTTTAATGCTGTGTCTAGTGAACAATTACATTATCATGTGTGCTTTTGATCTCTGTATGAAGCATTTATATTTTGCTTACAGTGAATTTACTGCTANTTTGTAAATTTTTTTTTTTTGTACTCATGTAAAGAAATAACTAAAAAAACACATAATTTATAGGTTTTAATGCTGTGTCTAGTGAACAATTACATTATCATGTGTGCTTTTGATCTCTGTATGAAGCATTTATATTTTGCTTACAGTGAATTTACTGCTATATTACCTTACAATGACTTTCCTAAGATATATCAAAAGTTGAGATTATTGAAAGGAAAGGCTTTTACATGTATTAAAACACCTTCTGTAAGTATAATTAATAAATTTTATAAACTAAACAACATTGTAGAAAATACATACATGTTAACTTGCATGGATCTAAGACCCAGGCCATTCATTGCAGGGATAAAGCCCACATTTCTGGTAATTTTTGTAGGCTCTGTGACTGTCTGACAATGTCTAGCATAGTTTTTCTAGTTTCCCTATCAGTTTTGATGGGCCACATGTTAAAGTGTACAATCATTTCAGTGATTATATTAGGTAATTGGATTAGTTGACAAACTAGATTGGAAATATTTTTTAAATTTCAGCTAAAAAGATAAAGCAGTTTTGCTGTTAAATTTTAGTTTCTAAACATTTAATTTTTCTAAGCACTATTTATTACACTATAAACTAAATTTGAAATATTTTCAATTAAAAAAATATATATAATTAAAACATGCCAGGACAAAATTCATGCATTACAATATTAAATACATAGAATATGTAAAACACGGTTTAAAAATATTCTCAAATATTGAGGTGGAAGAGTATCCTAAAAAGGAAGGTAAACTCCATTGTAAAGACAGTTTCCGAAGTGTGAAAAGGACGTTAAGATTTAAAAGAAGACACTTTTGTGATTACTTCTATGCATTTAATATTGTAATGTTTTTATTAGTATTCATTTTAATTTTAATGTATGTGTTTAACTATTATATAAAATTTTTTGTATAAACTGTAAAACAGAACAAATAACGACATGATTTCAAAATTACTAACATTATATAAAAATTGTATAAAGTTTGTCTTTTTTAATACATATTTATTGGAAATAAACTTTATACACTCATTGGTAAAAAAAGTTATACACCAAAGAGGCAGTTTTGAATCCAATGAAGCTGGTTTAATGTGAAGAGAATGACAATGATAATTGATTATAGTTTCCTAGAGCAACTTCCTGTGGAACAACAGTTCAGTTTAAACAACTCTTTAGTTCCTTGTAGGAATTGAAGTACTCCCAGTGGCCTTCTAATGTTGTCATTCAAATCAGGATTTATTGCTAAAGTTCAGATACACTGCCAGTCTATAACAGGTGCTATTTCTCTATCATGGTACCATTACAAACAAAGCCAACAAAGTTGTTTTGTCTGAAAATTTTCCTCTGTTGATGTGTCTGTTGCCGCATCTGTTGCCTGTCATTGATAAGGAAAGATTCGTTTCTGTAATGAGACTTCCATCAGTCTGAATGATGAACAAAGATGCTATTTCAGCTGTTTTTGATTGTCTCATGATCAAGTAATGATCATCTGTTCCAGTGGTCTATCTAGGGTGTCAACATATCTGTTATCCACTGTCCTAACATCTCACATTGGGTTAGAAAGACCCAAATGATAAAGTGATTTTGGCAAGTGGTCATCCAGCTTCCCTGAGCACAATGCAGCCTTTTTCAAACTCCATCAAATGTGTAATGTCTTGTATTGTCTAATATTGGAGGTCTTTGAATACAGCATGCCTAATTACATGTACACTGAAAATTCTGATCATAGTGAGTCTCTGCTGGTACTACTACTCGCTAAATAATCTGCTGGATTATATCAGGCTATAATATGGCTACTACCATATTTTTTGCAGAATGACTGGTATGCCACATAAAACGGATTACCAGAATAGCAGTTAAACTGCGACTAAAATAAAAAAATTAATCAGATCTAACAAAACTAGTTGTTAATTAAACATTAAAGAAAACATTCTTCCAAGTACAAATAATAACACTGTAATTTGGCTGTAATTAAACAATTTCTAGTATTAGTAGTAGTCAGTCAGTGTGGGCTATACTGACCATTACCCTGACCTTAAAAACATCTTCCTCTCAAATTTCACACAAAGCAATGTTAATTGGTGCAAGCTGAGATAATTTAATGTTTATTTTTGTGTTTTTGAATGAAAAAACATACACACACAAAAAGGAGCACTTTCAGAATTCCAGGACTATTTTACATCTAGAAAGAAAACAAAATGTAGAAAGTAAACATAGCATTACATCAAAAACTATAATTATGACAGTTTTAGAATAAAAAGCACTTTAAGTGCCCTCTAGAGAGGGATGTATAACCTCACTTAAACTGGCATGCCTGTTTTTACCATTTGGAAATATCTGATTTTATGGTCTCTCCAGATAGATCGGCATGCTGAGCATTCCACAAAAATACAGTATTTAATAATTATTTAATTATTAAACATAGCCATATTATAGCCCAATATAGTTCAACAGATCATTTGGTCTTATTCAAAAATCAGGTTGATAGATGTTTATATTTGTGTTTACTGTTGTGATTCTATTGAATAGGAAGTTATAATCATTTACATACCTGTCTGAGACATGTCTGATTACTGCAAAACTTGGTATATAGCTAATTCTGTCGGGTGTGTAACTTTTTTTGTCAATGTGTGTTAATTTTTTAAAATTTTTGAAAAAAAAAATTATTTTTACAATAAGCTCTTATTAATCTATTATCAATTACAGAGTTTAAGAATAATGGAAGAACTATTATGTGAAAGAATGAATGGCATGCAGACAGGTGGATGAAAAACTGTTTTTAATGAGTTTGTTTGCTGGAATTGAGAGACAAGTTTACATATCTTGTTTTTTTACAATATATATATATATACACATCTTTTCCATGACATCATATACATAGAAAAAAAAAGTTGACTAACTGGTTTAATGGTTATACCTTTTTATATATTTTTATAAAAAATTTAAAAATATTTTGGGGCTTTCATTGCAACAAATGAATTAAAAAACAATTTTATGATATGAAATGTAAAATTTGCATCTGTACAAAATTTGCAATGTAATGATGCAAATCTTCCAAAATCTTTGTAATTTTGCTCTTCTGAAAGGAAAGTTTGACTTTCATTTAATTCCTTGTTTTAATTGACTGACTGATAAACTAATTCAGATCTGAATGGTTCTTGATTTAGTAAGTCAGTATTAATCTTAATTTATTTAATACATTTTAGAAATATCAAATCGTGAAATGAGATTAGATATAAAAATTTTAACAAAATGTTAACAAATTGCATCTTGAAAATATAATTACTATTAAATGTAAGAATTTTTACAGTTTTAAATTGAGTAAAATTTATTTCTTATAATTTACAAAGTATTTTCAAATTTCTCTTCAATTATTATAATAACCCTGCATTGAATGGCTTGGATCTCACAGACTCATGTGACTTCTGCAGTATATTTTCATAATGTCTTTATATAGGTAGGCAATTCATATTACACACCTTCCTATTCTGGTACTACAAATTTGTGAAATTCAAATTGAATAAGTTTACTCTGCTGTGGCTAGCAGACAATTTGGGTCTGACAGACCCAGGCATTCATTTGTGTAAGTTTTTTTTTTGTACTCATGTAAAGAAATAACTAAAAAAACACATAATTTATAGGTTTTAATGCTGTGTCTAGTGAACAATTACATTATCATGTGTGCTTTTGATCTCTGTATGAAGCATTTATATTTTGCTTACAGTGAATTTACTGCTATATTACCTTACAATGACTTTCCTAAGATATATCAAAAGTTGAGATTATTGAAAGGAAAGGCTTTTACATGTATTAAAACACCTTCTGTAAGTATAATTAATAAATTTTATAAACTAAACAACATTGTAGAAAATACATACATGTTAACTTGCATGGATCTAAGACCCAGGCCATTCATTGCAGGGATAAAGCCCACATTTCTGGTAATTTTTGTAGGCTCTGTGACTGTCTGACAATGTCTAGCATAGTTTTTCTAGTTTCCCTATCAGTTTTGATGGGCCACATGTTAAAGTGTACAATCATTTCAGTGATTATATTAGGTAATTGGATTAGTTGACAAACTAGATTGGAAATATTTTTTAAATTTCAGCTAAAAAGATAAAGCAGTTTTGCTGTTAAATTTTAGTTTCTAAACATTTAATTTTTCTAAGCACTATTTATTACACTATAAACTAAATTTGAAATATTTTCAATTAAAAAAATATATATAATTAAAACATGCCAGGACAAAATTCATGCATTACAATATTAAATACATAGAATATGTAAAACACGGTTTAAAAATATTCTCAAATATTGAGGTGGAAGAGTATCCTAAAAAGGAAGGTAAACTCCATTGTAAAGACAGTTTCCGAAGTGTGAAAAGGACGTTAAGATTTAAAAGAAGACACTTTTGTGATTACTTCTATGCATTTAATATTGTAATGTTTGAAATATTTTATCTTTTTAAAAAATTAAAATAAATTTATAAATATTTTAAGCCAAAAAGAATAAACTGTAATCAAGAAGTTAATGAGTAAAAACTGTTTACTTATGGAAGGTTTATTATTTTTTATTTGCAAAATTTCCACAAATTGTAACTTTTGAAAAAACTAAATTATCATACAGTAGAACTCTGTTAAATTTCTGAAGAGACTATTGTAAAAAACCTTAAGTGAGAAAACTTATACAGGAATTGTAAAAAAATTATTTGTACATTGTTTTATTTCAATATCAAGGTAATATTGTAG